GCTGGAATCGATCCCGGAACCCCCGCATTACGAAGCGTTCGCATCGACTTAGCCACAGAACCGACTAGCTCACATTACTTCTCTTGACTGACGGAGTTTCTACACAACCAGGACATCACACAAGCGATAAGCACCCGATGACACAATGTGCCACCATGTGAATGAGGATCACCGCGTTCAGCCTTTAGGCCATATTTATGACCAGGCTATATTGCAGCCCCTGGCAAAAGCCAGAGTTGGGTTTCAAATAGCTACAAATTTAATCCTTAAAACGACGAGGGACGAAATGTTTCCTCTTTAATTTATTTGAACTTATCTTAACTTCTGTTTAGTATAATTGAGTGAAAGTGACTTTAAATTATTTCACTTTATTTTACTTCTCTTTAATCTATTTCACTTTACTTCAGTTTAATTTATTTCATTTATTTTATCTTCTTTAATTAATTTTACTTTCTTCTCTTTAATTTTTCTTTTCACTTTAACTAACTCATCTTTAATTTTTTTTTTACTTCACTGTATTTCACTTTAGTTTATTTCCATTGTATTTATTTCTCTTTAATTTATTTAACCTAATTTACTTCTCTTCAATTTATTTCACTCTACTTTTATGTAATTTTTTTTTCACTTTACTGTTTTCCTCTTTAATCTTTTTCACCTTACGTTACTTCTCTTTAATTTGTTTCACTTTGCTTCTCTTTAATTTATATCACTTTACTTTATTTTTCTTCAATTTTATTCACTGTACTTTTTCTCTTTACTTAATTTCACTTTACTTTCCTTTAATTTGTTTCACTGTTCTTAACTTCTCTTTAATTAATTTCACTTTAATTTTGTGTATTTTTTTTTTACTTTACTTTATTTCTCTTTAATTTATTTCACTTTACTTCTCTTTAATATATTTCACTTCACTTTGCTTTAATTTATTTCAGTTTATATTAATCCTTTTTAATGTATGTTACTTTCTTTACTTCTCTTTAATTTTTTTTTTAACTTTTCTGTACTTTTCTTTACTTTTTTCCCTTTACTTCACTTCTCTTTAATTTATTTCATTTTACTTTACTTCTCTTTAATTTTTTAACTTTACTTTTCTTAATTTTTTTAAACTCTACTCAACTTTTCTTACATTTATTTCATTTTTTATCTTCTCTTTAATTTATTTCACTTTACTTCTCTTTAATTAATTTTAATCTACTTTACTTCTCTTAAATTTATTTTACTTTACTTCTATTTATTTTTTTTTTCATTTTACTTTTTGTCTTTTTAATTAAATTTAGTTTACTTCACTGTTCTCTAAATTTTTTTTGACTTCACCTAATTTAATAATCATATATTTCACTTTACTTTATTTCACTAAACATTATTTCTCTCTAATTTATTTCAAGTAATATACTTCTCTTTAACTTATTTAATTTTACTTGACTTCTCTTTAATGTATTTCACTTTACTTTTCTATAACCTTTTTATATTTTGATATTTTCTTCCTTAATTTATTTCACTTTACGTTACTTCTCTTTAATTTATTTCATGTTGCTTCACTTTAACTTATTTCACTTTATTTAATTTTCTTTAATTTATTTCCCTTCACTTTATTTCTCTTTAATTATTTTACTTAACTTTACTTTTCGTTAATTTATTTAACTTAACTTAATTTCCCCTTAATTTATTTTGCTAAACTTTTCTGTAATTTGTTTCACATTACTTTATTTCTCTTTACTTTACTTCCCTTTAGTTTATTTCACTTTACTTTGCTTCTCTTTAAAATATTTCACTTTAGTTTACTTCTCCTTAATTTTTGTCACTTTACGTCTCTTTAATTTAATTAAATTTACTTTACGTCTCTTTAGTTTATTTCACTTTACTTCTCTTTAATTTTTTTTCACTTCACTTCTTTTTAATTTATTTCACTTTTTTTAACTTCTCTTTTATTCCCGAGAAAGATAAGACAGAAAGTGATAGAGGGAGGGAAAGATGAGTATATAGAGAAATGTAAAGATAAATGAAGATAAACATAATGACAGGAAATAAAGAGACACACCGAGAGAGAGAGAGAGAGAGAGAGAGAGAGAGAGAGAGAGAGAGAGAGAGAGAGAGAGAGAGAGAGAGAGAGAGAGAGAGAGAGAGAGAGAGAGAATAAAAATCATATTGAGATGGAGAGACACACGACAGAAAGATATAGAGATCAACCAATACATACAGAGATGCATGCACACACAAACTGAGAGACATAGACTGACACCGAGGGAGACGGAGATATGTAGCGGTGTAGAAAGGCTGACTCGTAAAGACATAGACTGTCACCGAGGGAGACGGAGATATGTAGTGGTGTAGAAAGGCTGACTCGTAAAGACATAAACTGACACCGAGGGAGACGGAGATATGTGGCGGTGTAGAAAGGCTGACTCGTTAAGACATAGACTGACACCGAGGGAGACAGAGATATGTAGTGGTGTAGAAAGGCTGACTCGTAAAGACATAAACTGACACCGAGGGAGACGGAGATATGTGGCGGTGTAGAAAGGCTGACTCGTAAAGACATAGACTGACACCGAGGGAGACAGAGATATGTAGTGGTGTAGAAAGGCTGACTCGTAAAGACATAAACTGACACCGAGGGAGACGGAGATATGTGGCTGTGTAGAAAGGCTGACTCGTAAAGACATAGACTGACACCGAGGGAGACAGAGATATGTAGTGGTGTAGAAAGGCTGACTCGTAAAGACATAAACTGACACCGAGGGAGACGGAGATATGTGGCGGTGTAGAAAGGCTGACTCGTAAAGACATAGACTGACACCGAGGGAGACAGAGATATGTAGTGGTGTAGAAAGGCTGACTCGTAAAGACATAAACTGACACCGAGGGAGACGGAGATATGTGGCGGTGTAGAAAGGCTGACTCGTAAAGACATAGACTGACACCGAGGGAGACGGAGATATGTGGCGGTGTAGAAAGGCTGACTCGTAAAGACATAGACTGACACCGAGGGAGACGGAGATATGTGGCGGTGTAGAAAGGTTGACTCGTAAAGACATAGAAACATGCGAAGAAGAAGGAGATAGATCCTCATCATGTGCCCTGCCAGCTGGTGTAGGCGCTCAGACATGTCAACAGATCACAACCCCTATTTGCCTTGAACAGCCCTCTTGGTGATACCTCTCCCTGCCATCCATTCAGCCCATCCATCATCATCTCTCTTGGTCTGAATCTACCCCTCTTTCCACTGATCTTTTCAGTTGTCACAATGTTTTCCAGTGCCCCTCTTCTCATTACATGGTCAAAGAACAGTGTCTTTTTTTTGTATAACGAGATCTACTTTCATTAGCTTCTTTCAAACAGTTGTTATTAGTTACTCTTGTTGTCCAAGGTGTTTGTAACATTCGTCTCAGAAACCACATCTCTGTTGCTTCTAAATTCTTCTTAATTTGTTCATTGACCTTCTATGATTCTCTGCCGTACAGCAGAACAGGTTCTATGTAACATTTTAGCACCCTCTTTCTGACATTAAATGAGAGCGATTTATCCCATAAGATATTTTTCATTTTTTGAAATGCTCCCTTAACTTAAACTATTATGCTCTTTATATCTGCCAAAGATTTTTCATGTGTTGTAGTGATTGTTTCCAGATATTTGAATTTTTTGACTCGGTTAAGCCTGTTTCCTTCAACTGAGATATCACAATGTGGTGTTTTCTTCTTTGATATAACCATTACTTTAGTTTTCTAAATATTCAAGGAAAATTCTTTCTAAGCATTCTCCATTCCCATTATCCAACTGTTGTTGTAAATCAGTTGCGTTATTAGCTATCAAAACTTAATCGTCTGCAAAACCCATATTGTTTATATTGTATCCTCAAACTCTTATTACTGCTTTCTCTTTAATTTCCCTCAAAATTATTCACTAAATGGAGAAAAAAGGTTTAGGGATAAGACACATCCATGACTTACTCCTTGCTTTATATGTTTAAAAGTACCCAATCTGTTTTCGACTTTATTGCCAATAGATCGATAGACAGACAGAGACAGACATGCAGACAGACAGACAGACAGACAGACCGACCGACCGACCGACCGACCAACCGACCGACCGACCGACCGACCGACCGACCGACCGACCGACCGACCGACCGACCGACCGACCGACCGACCGACCGACCGACCGACCGACCGACCGACCGACCGACCGACCGACCGACCGACCGACCGACCGACCGACCGACCGACCGACCGACCGACCGACCGTTGACCGACCGTTGACCGACCGACCGACCGACCGACCGACAAACCGACCGACCGACCGACCGACCGACCGACCGACCGACAGACAGACAGACAGACAGACAGACAGACAGACAGACAGATAGATAGATAGATAGATAGATAGATAGATAGATAGATAGATAGATAGATAGATAGATAGATAGATAGATAGATAGATAGATAGATAGATAGAGAGATAGAGAGATAGAGAGATAGACAGTTAGACAGATAGACAGTTAGACAGATAGACAGTTAGACAGATAGATAGATAGATAGATAGATAGATAGATAGATAGATAGATAGATAGATAGATAGATAGATAGATAGATAGATAGATAGATAGATAGATAGATAGATAGATAGATAGATAGATAGATAGATAGATAGATAGATAGATAGAGAGATAGATAGATAGAGAGATAGAGAGATAGAGAGATAGAGAGATAGAGAGATAGAGAGATAGAGAGATAGAGAGATAGATAGATAGATAGATAGATAGATAGATAGATAGATAGATAGATAGATAGATAGATAGATAGATAGATAGATAGATAGATAGATAGATAGATAGATAGATAGATAGATAGATAGATAGATAGATAGATAGATAGATAGATAGATAGATAGATAGATAGATAGATAGATAGATAGATAGATAGATTAGATAGATATATAGATAGATAGTAGGTGAGGGATGACGAATCTGCAAGAAGGCACATCAGGTACGAAAGACAATCACTCACCTGTACTCTGACTTCCGGTAAGTTGATTTTGATAGCTAACTCCTCTCTACTGTACACATCCGGGTAGTGCGACCTTTCAAAGGCACGCTCCAGCTCATGCAGCTGATACGTTGTAAATGTCGTTCGATTTCGTCGATGTTTCTTTTTACTTTTACTTCGTCCTTCCTCTTCATTCTCCTCATCGTCATAATCATCATTGTCATCCTCTGCCAGCTCTGTATTGAGCTCTCCTTGTTGGGCTGCGTCGTGATTCAAACTGTCATGTTTTTGAAACTGCTGACCCGCATTTTGTCTCTCGTCTGTATAACTACTGTTTCCATGACTGCCGTTGTTAGAGACCTGCCATGATGGCTTGCTCTGTTTGCTAGATCTGGCATTTCTAGTGTTTTGACAGGCTGTGAAATAGAAAAGAAATCATACGTACAGTTAAACAACTTTGTGTGTGTGTGTTTTTTGTGGGGTTAAAAAAAAAGAGAAACAGAGATGGCGTTTTAACATTAGAAACTTCAACCCATTCGCTGAGAAAAAGGGAGAGAGAAGAGGGCGATATATAAGGATTCCTGCTCATTCTTGTCAGCGTTCGCCTGCTGTTAATTCCGGTTAAAAGTTGAAGCGTTTCGTTGACTTCCGGTCTGTGATCTTGATCCAGAACATCTGGTTTACAGGTCTAGCTTATTTGTATGCAGACTGTTTGTTTCCCGCCTCCTGTTCATATGCACTTTGCTTTTGAAGGAAACACCCCTAATTAGTCGTCTTTTTCGACATGATAATGGGCCTAATCGTTGCTCTCAACAAGGAGCCCTGAAGCCCACACGGGAAATAGCAGGACTGCATCAGCAATAAATACAGACATCTGTTTCTATTCCTGTCATTTATTGATTACTGATTTAGGAATCGATATCTTAGCAAATTTGGACACCTGAAAACTGTCTGTCTCGCGCAGAAAATTTCTTAGGTCTCTTTTTCTTTGCGTTCGGTTTCGTATGCTCATATCAGACCATCAGTTGGGTTGCTTCTATGAACTCGCATGTCAGCAGTATTTACTTCGTGGTTCCCCATAGCCTGCTCTGCACACTTTGCTCTTGAGGCCATGTGTCTTTTAGAAGTTTTAAGCAAAGTGGGCAGGTGTTTGTGGTCCTGTCTGACAGGCACACTGTGGGGATTGTCCAGTTTTTTAATGCATGTGGTAGTTGAGCCTCTTCGAACACGGAACATTGTTTTATGTTTGACACCTATAGATTATCCGTCTCTCACAGAAATTGGCTTTCAGGTCTCGATATTGACTGTTTCTGTTGCATACATGTCGTACTGTACCTGCAACGCGCTCCTCTTTCGCTGTATTTAGATTTAATTATAAAGTAAAAAAAAAAAAAACCCAATACATGATTAGTCTATCGTATCTCCCATCATCGTATCTCCCGTCATCGTATCTCCCATCATCGTATCTCCCGTCAGTATTCGTTCATAATAAGTCTACAGAATGTCTGGCTTGCCTAAAATGAGTTTTCCTATCATTGTTTATTGTCTAGCCAGAGATCAGCATTTTCTCTGCCTCGCACTCCTGCGTGTCCCAGACAGTATACCCATATGAGTAATGTTGGCGTGCTGATGCTTGGTATACACTCATGTTATAGTGGCCCATTCTGAACCTTCCACAGTACCGACTGAGAATCAACATCTGTAATTCCCCTGGTAACTCTATGTTCAGCCGTTCCCTTCAGATCTGCAGTGATTGCCCCTCTTCCTTCTTTCTGCTTAAAGTTGTTGAGAAAAATCACTTCTAAGTTCGGCCGCAACTGTTGGCCTCACTCAAGATTAAAATCTCCCAGTTAGATTATTCATCTAGATTACCAGGCCCATCAGTTTACACTGTTGCGTCATCTCATCATCATCATCATCATCATCAGGTGCCTTGCCAACTGGGGTGGGCGATCATGCCTCTCCTTAATCCACGATCTCCTGCAGCATGTATCAGTTCGACACACCTCCATGCTATGCAGCATTACTGTCATGAATCATCTCTCGTTGTCATCCTCTATCCCTCCTTCCACAGATCTTTCCAGTGGTCACAAGATGTTCTATTTTCCCTCTTCTCATAACATGGCCGAAAAACGATGACTGTCTCCTTCTGATGTCTGTGATAAGTTGTCTTCGGGCTTCCGCCCCTTTCAAAACCTCTTCGTTGTTCTTTTTGGCTGTCCAAGGTATTCTAAACATTCTTCTGTAAAACCACATCTCTGATGCCTCAAGAAATTGTTTGGCCTGCCTACCGATTGTCCAGGATTCACATCCATATGTTAAAACTGAATGTATGTAGCAAGCAAGAATTCTTTTTCCAACTCTCAATGACAAGGATATATTGCACAAGATATTCTTCATTTTATAAAATGCAGTTTTTGCCTGTCCTATTCTGTTTCTTATCTCAGTTATGCATCTTCCATCTGATTTTATCCATGTGCCCAGATACTTTAATTTCTGTACTTGTCCTAAAATAACACCA